AGTGAAGTGTGGAGGATGTTTGAACACTGGAGATTATTAGCCGCTACATCATTAGTGACATTTAACACACACACACACACACACACACACACACACACACACACACACACACACACACACACACACACACACACACACACACACACACACACACACACACACACACACACACACACACACACACACACACACAATGAATACAACTTTTCCAGAGGGAGAACATTTACTCAAGTGCACTACTTCATGTGGTCATCATGCACTTTTACTCCACTACATTTATTTACACCTTTAGTTACTTCACAGATTTGGGTTAATGATGTGAAATAAAGACCATTTATTGACATTAAGATCTATCATTATTGACCAGAGGTGGTTGTATGTTACTTAGTACTTCTACCCCACTACAATTCAGAGGTAAAGGGTGTACTTTGACTCCACTACATGTATTGAATACCTTTAGTTACTTTACAGATCTGGATGAATGATGTGAAATATAATCAAGTGTTAAATCAGACTTTAGTTCCACCTGGAGTAAATCCACAAGCTACCCTGCAGTATACAAAGCCATTCAAACTAGCTGCACCTTTACCAGCTTTGAGAACACTTTCATGATCAATCATTACAACACATATCATATATATTATTCTGAAATGGACCAATCTGCACAATGACTACTTTTACTTTTGCTACAAAGAAGTTCACAAAATCTTCTTTTGTCAGCCTCCCCGTCAGAGGGTTAAAGAAAGAGAAGCATGTCTGCAGAAAACGCTTTACAGAATCATGCCAGGACATTTCTTTCAGATCCTTCACACTCAACAGGATGTGCACTATATTCTCTGCTTTCATGTATGAAGGGTTTAACCCCAAGCTGCGCAGAAGCATCTTGGGAAAACATTTTGTCAAAGTAAGAATTGTGAATGTTAGGCAAGGCAAGGCAAGGCAAGGCAAGTTTATTTATATAGCACTTTCCAACACAAGGCAATTCAAAGTGCTTTACAAAAAAATGAAAGAGATTAAGAAAATGGCATTTAAAATCAGTCATTAAAAAGAAAAGCTAATAAAATAAACATTAAAAGAAAAAATACATGGATAAAGGTTACAGTGCAATTAAACATTAAAAGAAAAAGTACATGGATAAAAGTTACAGTGCAGTCTAAGATATGAATAGTTCAATTAAAAGCAGCGACAAAAAGAAAAGTCTTCTTGCTGGATTTAAAAGTAGTAAGAGTTGCAGCGGACCTGCAGGTTTCTGGGAGTTTGTTCCAGATATTTGGAGCATAATAACTGAACGCTGCTTTACCATGTTTAGTTCTGACTCTGGGGACAGAAAGCTGACCAGTCCCTGAAGACCTGAGAGATCTGGATGGTTCATCATTTAGCAGGAGGTCAGAAATGTATTTTGGGCCTAAACCATTCAGTGCTTTATAAACCAGCAGCAGTATTTTGAAATCTATTCTTTGACACACAGGAAGCCAGTGTAAAGACTTCAGAACTGGAGTGATGTGATCCACTTTCTTAGTGTTAGTGAGGACTCGAGCAGCAGCGTTCTGAATTAGCTGCAGCTTCCTAATAGATTTTTTAGTGAGACCTGTGAAGACACCATTGCAGTAGTCGAGTCTACTGAAGATAAAAGCATGGACAAGTTTTTCCAAATCCTGCTGTGACATTAGTCTTTTAATCCTAGATATATTCTTTAGGTGATAGTAGGCTGATTTAGTAACAGTTTTAATGTGACTGTTGAAACTCAGGTCAGAGTCCATGACTACACCTAGATTTCTGGCTTTATCTGTTGTTTTTGAACATTGCACACTGAAGCTCAGCGCTAACTTTTATACGTTCTGCCTTGGCTCCAAAAACCATTACCCTCAGTTTTATCTTTGTTTAATTGGAGAAAGTTCTGACACATCCAGTCATTGATTTGTTCAATGCACTTACTCAGTGTTTGAATTGGAGCATAGTCTCCTGGTGAAATTGTTACGTAAATTTGTGTGTCATCTGCATAGCTATGGTAACTTATTTTGTTGTTCTTCATTATCTGAGCCAGTGGTAGCATGTAGATGTTAAAGAGAAGAGGCCCCAAGATGGAGCCTTGAGGAACCCCACATGTCATATTTGTCAACTCAGATGTGTATTTACCTATAGAAACAAAGTTGTTTCTGTCCTTTAAGTAGGATTCAAACCAATTCAGAACTGTTTCCGAAAGTCCCACCCAGTTCTCCAGTCGGTCTAGTAATATGCTGTGGTCAACAGTGTCAAACGCAGCACTGAGATCTAATAATACTAACACTGAAGTTCTGCCACTGTCTGTGTTTAAGTGGATGTCATTAAAGACCTTTACAAGAGCAGTCTCAGTGCTGTGGTTTGGACGAAAGCCTGACTGGAACACATCAAAACAGTTATTTAAATGCAAGAAATTACTCAACTGTTGAAAAACAACTTTTTCAATGATTTTACCTAGAAATGGGAGGTTTGATATGGGCCTGTAATTGTTCATTACTGAAGCATCTAGATTATTCTTTTTTAAGAGCGGTTTAATGACTGCAGTTTTCAGGGCCTGTGGAAAAATACCTGAGTGAAGAGATTTGTTTACTATATGAAGTAGATCTGAGGCCATGCAAGGGAAATAATTGTCCTAGACTCCTAGATATGACGTACAGGACCAACCCTGACGTCTGTTTACCTCCTTTAAGGACACAGGCTGTTTCAGCCAATAATGTTATTGTTCCCATTCTGTGACCGGTCAATACTGGGTCACAGATGGTCTGTATTGTGGCTACACTGGGACACTTCCTTCTCTGTTGTCTGAGGACTCCAGGGCATGACATATCCAAGGCCATAAGTGGCGGAAGCTGGTAACTTAGTGTGCCCAAACTATCTAAAGCTATCTTATCAAAACATGTTGATGACTCTCTGTGGAACCAGTTAAATGGGCTGGCAAGAGAGAGGCTCTCCAGAATTGACGTGGCAACTCTACCGTGAAGTCAGAACCTCTGGCTCTTGGACTTGTGATGTGAATCCTCCGGCCGTAACTCCAAATAAACCATCAGTGTTTGACATCAAAGCTACTGCTCCTACCGTGTCTCCTTCCTGAGTCGGTGACTCCCACTGCATAGCTACACAGAAGTTTCCTCTACAGTGAAGAGACGAACCCCTATTATTGGGAACAAGTTGTTATTAATGGACTTTATTTCTACTGTTTGCATTGCTTGTATGTATTCATCTTCAAGGCTACATATCCAAAGTTACGTGAGTGTAAAAAAAATAATAAAAAAATAAAGTCATATAACCCACTCAAATAAACAATTTGTGGTTTTTCGCTATGTTTTGTATAAGTCTACGTCTTTGTATTGTACCACAACATTGATCATAATAAATAATAATTGCAGATAAATTAATCTTAGCTTTGCTCAAGACACTGGAAAGTAAATCTGGATCTTTTCATGAACCTCAGTTTGTAGAAAAAAGACAGAGAGGAGAGGAGCTGTACATTATTTATAAGAGAAGAGATAAACTGAAGCATGACTGGAAATGATGAGTTTAATTAAGTGTGAGGATGTGTTCATCTGGGCCCACAACATATACGTTTCCACATTGTGATGGAGCCTTTCTGTGTGGGTGTGTGCATCAGTGTGTGTTTATAGGTGGCAGTAATCACATTTGCTTGGTGATGTAAAATAAAATTACCCTTGTAGTTAAATTAAATCAATTTGGAATAGCACATCGTATCGTATGGATATGTATAACTATCGGAGGGATGTCACCCACAGTTAACAGGAGATGGTGACTCGGAAGATTGAGTTTATGTTAGATTTAGTAGAACTGTTTCAGTTCCAGTTATCAGTGAGGTAAGAATAGTGACTGTCTCTGTAGACATACAGTTAAAGAGTCCTCTCCTGCTGATGTTCAGGTCATCAGGTGTATATCAATATGTAGTGTCTCTACTTTAAAGAGTCCTCTCCTGCTGATGTTCAGGTGTATATCAGTATGTAGTGTCTCTACTTTAAAGAGTCCTCTCCTGCTGATGTTCAGGTGTATATCAGTATGTAGTGTCTCTACTTTAAAGAGTCCTCTCCTGCTGTTGTCCGTGCAGGGCCGCCCCTCCTATACGCAGAACACACGCAGTGCAGCGGGCCTCATCTTATTCGCAAATGCAGCGCAATAATGCGGGCCACAGTTTCCCCGCAGCAAAGCTCCGGCGCTAACGGTACGTCCACACGGCAGCGTGCGTTGAAGCTTGCCGGTCGGCGTGTCTGGCTCGCGACCAACAACCAATCACATTAATATCTCCTGCCCCGGAGACACAAGCACGCGGTTTGATTGGCTAGCGCTTGTACTGCCATATGATTTGATTGGCTGACGCTTCCGTCGAAGCTTGAAAAGTTGAACTTTTTTCAACTTTCGAAGTGAGCAACGGAGGCAAAGAGGCAAAGCGACGGAACCACAATGCAGTTCGGCAAAGCCTGACGTCACCCCATTCAAAGTGAATGGGAAGCGTCTCAGTTGAAGCAACGCACGCTGCCGTGTGGACACGCCAAAACGCCAACGCAACAACACACCAACATGCAAAAGCAACAACGCAACTACTAGCCAAAAGGCCAGGGTGAAGCCGTTGCAGTGACAGGAAGTAAATGTCAGACGGTCGTGTGAGGAAACCAAAGACTAAAGCAGTGAGTGAGGGAAACGTCCTGCAGTGAAGTGTGGAGGATGTTTGAACACTGGAGATCATTGCCGCTACATCATTAGTGACTTTTAACACACACACACACACACACACACACACACACACACACACACACACACACACACACACACACACACACACACACACACACACACACACACACACACACACACACACACACACACACACACACACACAATGAATACAACTTTTCCAGAGGGAGAACATTTACTCAAGTACACTACTTCATGTGGTCATCATGCACTTTTACTCCACTACATTTATTTACACCTTTAGTTACTTCACAGATTTGGGTTAATGATGTGAAATAAAGACCATTTATTGACATTAAGATCTATCATTATTGACCAGAGGTGGTTGTATGTTACTTAGTACTTCTACCCCACTACATACATTACAACAATGTCAGCACAAGTTGCATTTAACCAGAACGACACAGTTGTACATTTATACCGTTTTTAAGAAGTCACAGTGGAGATAATCACAAAGGCAATGTTGAGATGCAAACTGTTGATATGGAGAGAGCAGCTGCATATACAGTATCTGCATATCCGTCTCTTTCTAAAACAGCATGACCAGTTATTCAATGCATGATTATAATTATGGCTTCTATCAAAGTTGCCAAAGCAAACAAAATCCACATCTGATCCTAAAGGGCTCAAATTAAATACTTTGGCGCCCCATTGCACGTTATTCCCACTCTCTGTGTTTCGCTGTCGGGAGGTGATTCAGTCTGAGAGTTGTTGTATTCAGTGCAGCCCGCCTGATTGGATGTTGTGCCAGCGAGCCGTCTCTATTTGCCCCCGGCTGCACATTTCCTTCCAGTGTCCCTGACCCTCCTCTGAGGTATCGTCGCCGATTAACACCCGACCCAGAATACTGCTCTTAGTGTAGAGACGGCCCTGTGGACACATGGAGAATACTGAATAAAACATATGAAGATATTCAGATACAAATATGGTTTAAATCTGGCCTGCAGTCCCTTTTAACATCTCATGCCCTTTATTTCACCCTTTGAAAACAGTCACTTCCACATAAAAGCAAAACTGGCCTGCTACTTAGTAACTTTTTTGGGGGTTAAGTTGCTGAGTTGGAAATATTGGAAATATTGAAGAGCTGTCTGCTTTTTCTACCAAAAAGATGCTCAACAACAATGTCTCTTTGCAGAAATCTTAACCCTGTTACTCATAATAATCTGCATATCTTTTTTTGTGTACTTTCAAGTAGGAACTATTTCTTTCTACCCTTTTACAACACAGAAGGTGTCAGAGAATATTTTAATCCGATCTCTTTGTGTCTTGAGTTTCTCAGCGTTTCTGAGAAACTGTTAAAATACAAACATATGCTTTTCGTTAAGTCACATATGCTCTTGTCTGTAATGTGAGGAGGACACAGGTCAAGAGGTCCTCTGCCTTGCTCTGGGTGAGAAGTTTGGCACAACGGGTCTTTGTTCCAATGTCTGGTAATGATTAAGGTAGGAAAGGCGGGCTTTTTAGGACCCTCCTTTAAGGATATATCTATCTGTGTTTCTACCCTTTGTCTTTAGAGTGTTGCTAGGTGGCTCACATGAAAGTGTGATACACTTTGTGATCTCTCCGGCCGTATTCTACTCTCAATAAATAACAGTGTTTGACTAAAGCCGCTCCAGCTTCCATCCTTTCCTGAGCCTTGGCTCTGCATTGCTGCACAGAAGTTTCACTCACAGAAGGAATTCTGCATCTACACTTGTCCATGAGTACACTGTATGAACGCTTCCTTCCACACAATCATACTGTTATCGGGTGTATTTCATTAGAAAGAAAGCAGTTCCTACATTAAATGTCTCATATGGAAGTCTGTTGAGTAAATGGGTCATGACTTCTTCAAAAGTGCATTTCCATAACGTTTCATCCATAGTGTTTGTTGAGTTACGAATGTTCTTAAATGTACCTCCATTATATATGACAGAAGGCAGACATCTCTACAGTTTATCGTCAACACTGGGCGACTCACACTACAACTTATATATAGATAAACAGGAAAAAGTAAATTAGGTATTTAAGGGTGAACTGTGTAACCTAAAACTCAAGGTCAGTGTTTATTATGTAATTACTTGCATATAAGGGAGTTTGCAAAATAACCTCGTACCAAACACCTGAACTATTTAAAGAACATCCATAAACATTCATCTGTTTGCATCTTGCAAATACGTTATCTAATATATCATTCCATTTACTTGTGTATAGACTCTTCTTGCACTATTTCTGTTTTATTTGTATTTACTGGCCCATCTCAAAACATTATATTGCATTACATGTCACTTGTTAGACACTTTTATCCAAAGCGACTTACATACTCAATACTGTGGGCAATCCCACAGGAGCAATTTGGGGTGAAGTGTCTTGCCCAGGGACACAACGACATGCTGACTGCAGTGGGGTTTGAACCTGTGACCTCCTGATCCAAATACCAACTCACAACCCACTGCACCACACGCCTATTCCTATTGCACTATTTTATCTGTTTTATTTGTTTTATGTCCTATATATTCATGTTGCTCTGTTGGAGGAGCCTGTGACTAAAGTGTTTCATTGCCATATCTACACTGTAGCTGCTGTGCAAATGACAATAAAGCCTTAAAATTTGAAACTTGAAATACCTGCATGATGATGAACTCGAGCACCAGCTGGGAGATGTCCCCAGGTGGCAGGTCGAACAGGAAGGGAGCGTTCCAGACGGGATTCGAACCGCTCGCCCCTTTGGTCTCCTTCGTACCGATAACCTTCCCATCCTGACGCAGGTTGATGACAACGTAGTGGTCTGTGGGGAGAAAATAAGATAAGATAAGATGGACCTTTATCCCCGTGGGGAAATTCAGGAGTTTTAGTATCAACAGAGTGAGAGCGAAAGTACAGTACAGATTCACACAAGATCAATTCAATTAAAGATACAATTAAAAACATTTTGTATCTTATTATGTATGTTGCATTGTTGGAGGAGCTCAGGTCAGAATAATGTCATTGCCATTTCTACACTGTAGCTCATGACAATAAAACATTTGAATCTTGAATCTTTGAAAACAAAGTTTTTTTCATTTAAAAATGATATACAGATAAGTAACTGTTAAAACAAGAATTTAGTTAAATTAATTAAAGAAAAATATATACATATCTGAGTCCGGATTGTTAAATATATTTACATGTATCTGTGCAGGTCAAAGTGTTACGAACTCAGACACTTAGGATGTAGGACCCAATTGCAAGACCCGGGAGACAGAGGTAAAGTATTTGTAAGATACTTTATTTTCCAAAACAGCATTGAACAACACAAAAGGTAACTATTAAATCTCTAGCCGAGATGACAAAAATAGAGAACAAAAAATGAAAGCGCTCACGTAGTGAGGAATCAAACTTTTCAAGAGTACAAGGAGCATAGACCTGAACATAGCAAGAGACAATACGCATAGAACTGAACATGACAAGACACAAAAACGAACTGACACTGAACACTGGGAGACAGGGGAATTTAAACACAGGGTAACAAGACACAGGTGGGAATAATCAGGGGCGGGACTGACGCAGAAGGGGTGACAGGTGAAAACAATCAGGAATTTAGACACACCAGGGAAACTAACGACAGACAGGAAACACAGGGAAAAAAGACCAGACAATATACAGGGAGGAAAACATGACAAGGAGAACAGAAAAACACCCACTACCAGACACACAAACTTAAAACCGTGACAGAACCCCCCCCCCTCAAGGGACGGATTCTAGATGTCCAAAACAATCCAAAATCCAAAAGGGTGGGTGGAGGGTGTCCGGAACGACAACCCAGAAGCAAAGCACAGTCCATGATGGGTGTCTCGGGCGGACTACCCAGGGGCAAGGCAGAGTTCATAATGGAGTCCTCAGGCGGACGGCCCGGGGGCAAGGCAGAGCCCATGATGGAGTTCTCGAGCGGATGGCCCGGGGTCAAGGCAGAGTTCTTGGTGAAGTCCTCGGCCGGGGAACTCAGGAGACCGGGCTCACAGGCAGGAGCTGGTGGAATATCTGGCGGGTCAGGCGTAGACGAGACCCTGGACGGAACAGGACATAGGGTTGGCAGGACCCCCGGCAGAAGAGCAGTCGGCGGGATCCCCAACGGGACAGGACATGGAGTTGGCAGGACCCCTGACAAAACAGGTGTCGACTGGACCTCCAACGGCACAGGACATAGGGTTGGCAGGACCCCCGGCATGACAGCAGTCGTCGGGGCCTCCAACGGCACAGAACATAGGGTTGGCAGGACCCCCAGCGGAACATCCAACGGACCAGGACATTGGGTAGGGACTTGAGAGGGAACTCGAGAGGAGCCTCAAGAGGGAACTCGAGAGGAGCCTCGAGAGGAGACTCGAGAGGGGACTCGAGAGGAGACTCGAGAGGAGACTCGAGGGGGAACTCGAGCGGGGACTCGAGAGGGAACTCGAGAGAGGGCTCGAGAGGGAACTCGAGAGGGAACTCGAGAGGTGACTCGAGAGAGGGCTCGAGAGGGAACTCGAGAGAGGGCTCGAGAGGGAACTCGAGAGGTGACTCAAGAGGAGAATTGAGAGGGAACTAGAGAGGAGATTTGAGAGATGACTCGAGAGGGGACTGGAGAAGAGACTTGAGAGGGGACTCGAGAGGGAACTCGAGAGGAGACTTGAGAGGGAACTCGAGAGGAGATTTGAGAGATGACTCGAGAGGGGACTGGAGAAGAGACTTGAGAGGGGACTCGAGAGGGAACTCGAGAGGAGACTTGAGAGGGAACTCGAGAGGAGACTTGAGAGATGACTCGAGAGGGGACTTGAGAGCAGACTTGAGAGGGAACACACCAGGGAAACTAACGACAGACAGGAAACACAGGGAAAAAAGACCAGACAATATACAGGGAGGAAAACATGACAAGGAGAACAGAAAAACACCCACTACCAGACACACAAACTTAAAACCGTGACACAAAGTTATTGTGCAAATACATCCACCGTCATGATTTGATTTATTTAATTCAGTTTGCTTTTCTATTTTTGTCATATTTGTATTTAAAGGGTTCCTTTTGACAAGAATAAACCAAAAAGAGGCAAACAATTTTGATTAAAACAGACTGAATATAAGAAGTGAAAAAAGTGAGTTTTGTAGACTATGGTTTTGAGACGTCAAGTTTGAAGTTACAGGAAAGGAGGAAGTACAATTGAATGTTGAACATGATGGTGTAGGAGATCATAATGCTACAGTTAACTCTCATGAACTGAACATCTTTTTAAAAGGAATCACAGACAATGCAGTGTTAGCAACCTGTCAATCACAAAGTAGTCCCGCCTTAAAGCACACTCTGCTTTATCTTCTATTTTACAAATATGACCATAATTGACAAAATAAACGTCATGCTAGGTTGAAGAAGACTTGAAACTAGACATTGAGATCAAACCCTTTTCAGGAAAGAGTTTACTGAGATAATAAATCAAGTGAGGAGTCTGGAAATCTTCTCATCGACAAAAAAATCCAATCATTGGTTATTTTTGGTCTTGAATGCACACACACTAACTGCAGTTTTTGTGTTGATCTAACACTTCCTTGAACTCCTTTCCACTATCACTTCGCCAATAAATCCATTCTACAAGCGTATTGGAATTAATTAGAAATGCTAAAAACAACTTGTCGTTAGCAAACAACATTTCAGAAACTCAGAAACTCACAAAGAAGAAAACTGACCACTCGGCCTCAAACTGTCACATTCACTGCAGGAAACCAAAACATTAAAGCTGTTTTCCTCTCCATCTCCTGCTTCCTCCTCTCCTCGACAGCAGGGCTTTAAATCAGCCGCAGTGAGATGTGATGCAGACAGGAGGGGAAATGACAACGGGCTAATGTGATTATAAAACAAGCCAAAGAAGGATCCGGTCTGTCTGACTGTGGCCGAGACAAAACAGGGAAATAAGGACAGAGGCCCACAGACCTGATGGCAGTTTACATGTCCAACCATTGTCCTCCTGTATGGTGTGAGTATAGTTTCAATATATGCAGGTCATCTGGTTGATGATATTCGCTCTTCTTTTTCTGACTCACCTTTACTCACCACTGGGTCACCAGACCCTCCTTCCACCCACACACTAACCTCCTTTTCCCCTCTCTCTCCAAGTGAGGTTCTTACCCTCATTACCTCTGCCCGCCCTACCACCTGTCCTCTGGACCCTATCCCTTCAAACCTCCTTCAGACTATCGCTCCTGATATTCTACCGTTTCTCACCCATTTCATCAACACTTCTCTAACTTCTGGTCACTTTCCAAACAGTCTCAAGGAGGCAAGAGTAAACCCTCTCCTAAAGAAACCCACTCTCAACCCGTCTGATGTTATAAACTACAGGCCTGTCTCTCTCCTCCCGTTCCTGTCTAAATCACTTGAACGCGCTGTCTTTAAACAACTCTCCTGTTATCTCAATCAGAACAACCTTCTGGATCCGCACCAGTCTGGTTTCAAGGCAGGTCACTCCACAGAAACTGCTCTCATTGCTGTCACGGAGGAACTGCACACTGCCAAAACTGCATCCCTCTCCTCTGTCATCATCCTGTTGGACCTGTCTGCTGCATTCGACTCAGTGAATCATCAGATCCTCCTTCGCACTCTCCAAAAACTTGGAGTTTCAGGCTCTGCACTTTCCCTCCTCACCTCATACCTCAAAGACCGTACCTACAGGGTGACTTGGAGAGGGTCTGAGTCCGACCCTTGTCAATTAACTACAGGGGTCCCTCAGGGCTCTGTTCTTGGTCCCCTCCTCTTCTCCCTGTACACAAACTCGCTCGGATCAGTCATTAGCCCGCATGGTTTTTCTTACCACTGCTACGCTGACGACACCCAATTAATTCTGTCCTTTCCCCGCTCAGAGACCCAGGTCGTCACATCTCTGCTTGTCTAGCTGACATCTCTCAGTGGATGTCTGCTCATCACCTCAAGCTCAACCTTGACAAGACTGAGCTGCTCTTCCTTCCGGGAAAAGATTGTCCCACTCTTGACCTAACAATCAACATCGGCACCTCAGTTGTTTCCCCGACTCAGACTGCAAGGAATCTGGGTGTGACCCTAGATAACAACCTGTCCTTCACTGCAAACATCGCTGCTACAACCCGCTGCTGCAGATACACGCTTTACAACATCAGGAGGATGTGTCCCCAGCTGACACAGAAAGCGACGCAGGTTCTGGTCCAGGCTCTCGTCATCTCACGCCTAGACTACTGCAACTCCCTCCTGGCTGGTCTACCTGCATGTGCCATCCGACCTCTGCAGCTCATCCAGAATGCAGCGGCTCGTCTGGTCTTCAACCTTACTAAATTTTCCCACACCACGCCGCTCCTCCGCTCCCTCCACTGGCTTCCGGTAACTGCTAGAATCCACTTCAAGACACTGGTACTTGCTTACCATGCTGCGAATGGATCTGGCCCTTCGTACATCCAGGACATGGTTAAACCGTACACCCCAGCGCGTGCACTACGCTCTGCATCAGCCAAACGACTCGCTGCACCCTCGCTGCGAGGGGGACCCAAGTTCCCATCGGCAAAAACACGTGGGTTTGCTATCCTGGCTCCAAGATGGTGGAATGAGCTCCCCATTGACATCAGGACAGCAGATAGCTTGCACATCTTCCGGTGCAAACTGAAAACTCATCTCTTTCGACTCCACTTCGAGCGATAGAACTTTTAACAAAGCACTTTTATACTAATAAAGGGCTGGCTTATCTAAAGCCAGTTGAGTAGCACTTGAAATGTTTTGGCTCTATGAAACCTGATGTACTTATATGATTCTGTTTTCTTCAAGGTTGTGTCTTCCTGGTCGAATGTACTTATTGTAAGTCGCTTTGGATAAAAGCGTCAGCTAAATGCAATGTAATGTAATGTAATCTGTACCTTATTATCTCTCAATGGGACATTTGTTTTGTAGTATAGGGCAAAAACACAACACAGGATGTAAAAAATAAGCTATTTTTGCTAAATAACTGCTGCTGATATGTCAGTATTGGCTTGTTTATGTTGCCTTGAAATGTCCACACAACTCAGTTATTGCCAGAAAATACATTTGTAATACATGTTTTACTGAGTAAGATGATCCTAAACCAGTTTGAATTGTGTTTTTAAGAGTCTCCTCACCAATAGGGCTTCAACTCACAATTATTGTCATTAAGGATTCATCTGCATCTTATTTTCTGGGTAAGTTGATTAATGGATAAGTGGCGGAAAATATTAAAAGCGGTTCATGCAGTTCCTCGAGTCCAAACCCAAACATATAATATGATATGGAAGCATTGTATAGCAGGACATCTTTACATTTAAGAGGCTAAAGCAGCACTTTCTGCCAGGTTTTCATTAATAATGATTTTAAAGATGATTTGATCAGAAGCAATTACTTTTCTGTCCACAGACTAACTGCTTCTACACTAATATTGGATTCTGTCGCTCCTTTTACGCTTAGACGCACCAAAGTTCTCTCAGAGCCGTGGCTCAATGACTGTACTCGTGCTCTCAGACGCACCTGCAGGCGTGCAGAGAGAAAATGGAAAAAGGATAAACTCCATGTCTCCCTAGAAATCCTTCGTGCTTGCCTTTCCGACTCCCAGACGGCAGTCAAAGCAGCCAAAACAGAGCACATTTCTCTGTTAATCTCCAAAAACAGCCATAAACCTCAGGTTCTTTTTACATTACATTGCATTTAGCTGACGCTTTTATCCAAAGCGACTTACAATAAGTGCGTTCGACCAACAAAATACAAACTTGAAGAAAACAGAATCATATAAGTACATCAGGTTTCATAGAGCTAAAACATTTCAAGTGCTACTCAACTGGCTTTAGGTAAGCCAGTCCTTTATTAGTATATATGTGCTTTGTTAATAGTTCTAACGCTCGAAGTGGAGTCGAAAGAGATGAGTTTTCAGTCTGCGCTGGAAGGTGTGTAAGCTTTCTGCTGTCCTGATGTCAATGGGGAGCTCATTCCACCATTTTGGAGCTGTTAGACCTGACAGCTGCCTTCGACACTGTGGACCATAGCATCCTGTTGTCGCGGCTCGAACAGTCCGCAGGCATCACAGGCTCTGCCCTTGCATGGTTCAGGTCCTACCTGACAGACCGTAGCTTCTCAGTGCAGGTGCCTTCTCCTCTGCCAAAGCCCCTCTTACCTGTGGGGTTCCTCAAGGCTCTATTCTGGGCATACTGCCGTATGTACAGTAGAAAAAGGATGGGGCCCTAGATTCAATTCTCACAAAACACAACATCCCCTTCCATTGTTACGCCGATGATGTACAAATCGATCTGCCTCTCAATTCAAATGTCAACTCATTACAGCTATTGATGCAGCTTGACAGAGATCAAATCCTGGCTGAGCCAAACCAAACGAGAGTAAGACCGAGGTCATCTTTTTTGGACCCCAACCTCCAGCCTCTCCGGTTGATATTCTGGGCTCCCTCAATAAAAACATCCTCCCCTCTGTCATGAACCTTGGAGTGACCACCATAGTCAGCACCATAGTCAAGACCTGCTATTTTAAAATACGACTATTGGCCAAGACCAAGTCGTTTTTATCTTTTAAAGACCTAGAAAGGGTTATTAACGCCTTTGTAACCACAAGGCTGGATTACTGCAACGCTCTGTATGTGGGTATGGACCAGGCGTCAATTAGACAACTGCAGTTAGTCCAGAATGCAGCTGCGCGTCTTCTCACTGGCCACAAAAAGCGTGACCACATCACCCCAATTCTGGCCTCATTGCACTGGCTTCCAATTAGATTCAGAATTGATTTTAAAATCCTTTTCTTTGTTTTCAAAGCCCTAAATGGGCTGGCTCCGGCCTATATAGCAGAACTCCTCCAGCGCTACACCCCAGCCAGAGCCTTAAGGTCGGCTGACCAGCTGCTGCTGGTAGTGCCCAAGACCAGTCTCAAAACCCGAGGGCACCGAGCCTTCGCAGCAGCTGGCCCCAGGTTCTGGAACACTCTGCCCCTCCATGTGAGGTCGGCCCTGACCCTAGGGGTTTTTAAATCAACACTAAAGACTCACTTCTTCTCCCTGGCCTTCTAGTCAGAGCGGAGCACGACTCCTGACATTTCCCTGTGTTTGATTTTTATATTTGCTGTTGTAATTTATTGTCGTATGTTTGCTATCGCAATAAAGTGTTTTTTATTGCATGTACAGGCTTGACCAAAAATCGTTTGGAAAATGTGCTATATAAATCAAACTTGATTTGATTTGATTTAAATGCTGCATGTGTTGTCAAGTTGCTGAAGATGTTTTTTCATGTTTACAGGAACATTTGTGTCACTGCCACTGTAAATAATTATCATTAACCCCATGTTGCAGGGGGTAACAGTAGAAAAATATCTTATTTTGTTTTTTTGTAAATGTTTACCTGCAGTTCCTGGGATGCGTGTGAGCTTTGCCAGATTCTCTGCCTTCCTGACCATCACTTTGATTCGCTGAGCCAGAGTCTGAAACTGCAGCAGGACGAACAGCTGGCCCAAAACCCGCGGCACACACACCGAGCTCTTCCTGCGACCCAGAGTTTCCTGGGAGCTCACACTCTGAGGATAGGAAAGAAGGGAGAAAGAAACATGTGACACATTTGACAACAGGGAAGAAAGATGGTCTTCTTTCACTCTGCAGATTTCCCTTCATCCTTTTAGGAGGTGAAGGAAGTGACACAGAGGAAATAAACCAAGAGAATGGAGCAGATTTAAACTGTAAAGCATTTAAAACCCATGCTCAGTATTTTTACTGTAAATGAATGAGTCCCCCAAGGCATTGATACTGTCAGAATACATTTAAAGGGATTCACAATGAAAGGAAAGGTTCAATGAGTTTATCTTCATTTCATGGATCTATTAAAAATATAATCACATTTATTCATGAGGCATGTTGGATTCCCCTGCCTGAGGAGCTCAGCTGTTCAGAATCTGCATCACATTTCCAATCACTCAAAGTTAATCTGTGATGTTGGTTTTATGTAGATGTCAGGATTGTGCATGTTCTCGCCATTGACCACCCATCCTAAAATAATCCAGGCGTCTGCAATGCACTGAGGCACTGTCATTCTAAAGGGGTCATTTACATCTGATTTCCTGTCAGATCTCTATAGCTTGCATCGGTTGGGCGGTGGTGAGTCAGACGTCGAGCAGCAGAGTGTGAAGGAGATTTTATCCCAACAAGTGAGTTCAGATAAGGCTCAGCCCCTCCGTCATTTTAATTCAGAGACACTGACCCTTACTCTGCCTTTTAAATTCAAATTCAAAGCCTCAACTGGCTCCTTTCGACGTGAAGGAGGAGCGGCTCAACTCCGAGTCCCTCCCGGATGACTGAACTTCTCACCTTATCCCTAAGGGAGACACCAGCCACCCTGCGGAGAAAACCCATCTCGGCCGCTTGTATCCTTAAATCATCATGCACCTTATTCCAACAAAATGTCAAAACAGGGAATATAATGCAGATGAATAATCCTGGAAGAGCCTATATTAAAAGATAGAGTCCGTACTACACACGTCACATCCACATCCAAACAGTTGATTCACACCGAACAAGAGAAAGATAAGATAAAGATAAGATAAGATACAATAGGACTTTATTTATCCCGAAGGAAATTGTTGTGCCAGAGTTACAACAAATAAAATAAACACAGCAGCATAAAAATAAAACTCTACACTAACAGTGCAGTAAAAAGAGCAATTAAATAACTAGGAAACATAGACGGTCACATAATTAATGTAAAATACTGTACAGTGACAAGCAGTATTTAGTACTGCAAATAACGTAGTGGAAGATAATGTAATTGCACGTTATTATAGAACATTATTAATAAGAAGAAGAATATTGCACATGATATATAGCAGAGTGTATAATGATGGTAATGTTATTTATTTTGCGCATAGTGGTGTTGTGGAAGTTCTCAGTTCTCTTTACTGAAGGGTGAAGAGTTATAGAGTTTGATGGCCAATGAGAGGACGAACCTTGTGTGCCGTGGAAATGATACTGTCCTCCCTGCCGAGCAAACTGCATGCATTCTAGACGAAAACAAAGCAATGTCTGTCCCCCCCCCTCCTTCCTGCAGGAGTCAGTTATTGGTGCCCTCTGGCTGAGTCTCAGAGGGCACAGCGTGGGCGCGCTGCCAATTTTCAGCACTCTGGTTGTTTATTCTGCAGTCACTAACAACAATGTCACCATGACTAACAACAGTGGAAAAATGGCTAATGGGAGAGCTGATTAGACGCTGCATTCCTTCATGGATTAAACATGATATGTGCTATTTGTAGGTCTGCACATTTCCCTATCAGTGAAATCAACTGACGATGCAGACTTTGTTAAAAAAACGTTTTTGAGAGACATCAGTACAGGGAGAGCAGTGCATAAAGTCAGTGTCCCAAAAGAGAAGTTCAAATACCTAAAAACAATACATTTGGAACACACACACACAAAATTAGCATTTAACGTAACAGCTCAATCACTTCTCTCACTGATTGTGCTGATTTTGTTTTTTCATGTATTGTGTCTTGATATCTGTCTGTTGATGTTACACATGGAGCTGCTGTGATGCAAGTCAAATTTCAGACTTGATCTAAACATTAAAGTATTATCGTACTGTATCGTAGATGCTTTATCGAACATTTGTGTTTTTTGTGTATTTATATTTGTAAAAGCTACGTTTTTTGTCAACAAATGAATGAATCATTGCGATATACCTTCTTCAACTTGCATTTGGTTGGGTTGAGCTGCCGGGCTTTAATTTAGCGCACATTATTCAATATGCTCCAAATCTCTTATAGATGATAGGAGTCCAGGCCTGAAGACTGCACGCCAATATTGACTCTTTGACGTAGCGCCACCTACTGGCAACAGGAAGTTTCAGGTTTTAGGTGAAGTTTGCCTATTTTGCCCAAACTGAACCATTCAAATTAACCCAAACATGATCTTTTTCTTAACAAAGTAGTTGTGTTGCCTGAACCTAAAACAAGTTGTTTTACTTCACCACATAAAGCAAGTGTTTAAATCTGTCTCCATTTAGCTTAACTTTTGTCAAGCGCAAGTACGCTCAAGATTTCTCATGGATGATACGAATCTACATGCCAATATTGACTCTTTGACATATCACCACCTACTGGCAACAGGAAGTTAAAGGTTTTAGGGGAAGTTTGCCCATTTTGCCCAATCTGAACCATTTAAATGGTGATGACGACTCATAACGACCATTCAATGGGCTGATAACATAGAAACTGACGTGTCGACCACTTCAAATCTGCATTACATATCTGTATTACATGCTTTACTGAACATTTGTGTTTTTTGTATATTTATGCTTGTAATAGCTACGTTTTTTGTCAACAAATAATTATAATAATAATTGGGATATGCCTTCTCCAGCTTGCTCTTAGTTGGGTTGAGCTGCAGGCTGTAGGTGGAGGTTGACTTAATTACAGACATCTCTTTCCCAATGTATGTCAATTGGAAAACATATCTTTGGGCCCAATGACATCACGGCCTGACACGGAAGATGTAGTTCCGCCGTTTGGGTAATACGAAAAGTTGCTTCGATGTCTAGCACACTTCCTTTGTGTACTATTGCTTGTAAAAGCTACGTTTTTGTCAACAAATCAATGAGTACTTGGGATATACCTGTGATGGAAACTTCTGAAGCAATGGAGACGAGACTCAGAGAGACACAGAGAGAGCAGAAACTTTGATGGCACGATCTCTACCCCAGACCCTAGTTCTGAGAGAATAATCAACATGCTGCATAACAAGATAAAACCATAACACCCCTATCAGCTGACGCCAACAGGCAGGAACAGGAAGAAAGAACACTGAGAGCAGCTCAAGGTCTCAGGCCTGTGCTCAGTGAGGGCAGTACAGACTGATAAACTGGGTCAAAGTTATGGGCCTATGAAAATATTTCCCCAACAGTTCCTTGAACTTCCAAAACCTACCCCAATAATAAGTTTATGTCAACAAATGAATGGGATATACCTTCTTCAGCTTGCTTTTGGTTGGGTTGAGCTGCCGGCTGTAGGTTGAAGTTTTATCCGGTTCCCACTCGAGCGTTTCACAGGGCAGCTCCACCGATCCCAACGCCGCCTCCCTCAGGCCGGAGAACTCCCGGCTGAACACCGCCAGCCTCAGGGTGCAGCTCCGCAGCTCCACCACAGAGCCCACCTGCAGCACCAGGCTCTGACCGTGGAGCTCCGTGCTGAGGCTGCGGCGCCTGGACGTCGTCCGCTGAGGGGAGGGGCAAAGTGGGGGTAGGCTAGCCCTAACAAACACCCCCGTACGCCTTCGATTGACCCCCGAAAGCCCCAGGATGTTGACCATTAGGGTGCCACAGGTGGAGGAGAAGATCAGGGTGAAGTGGAGGAGAGGAGCTGGTTTTAAAGTGGAGTTAGAGCCATACTGGGATGGATAATATGGCTTCCCCTGGTGGCTGGGAGGTGTCAGGTGACCGCTGTAAGGCAAGGCAAGTTTATTTATACAGCACCTTTCAACACAAGGCAATTCAAAGTGCTTTACAAAAATGAAAGACATTAAGAGCATTAATAGTGCAGCAGAAAGACATTATAAAATGGCATTTTAAAACACTTGTTTAAAAATATTTGTTCATCTTAATTCATTTCTTATAATTGTATCTTTGATTTTATCTTGAATTGTATTAATCTCTAATCTGGTGTGAATCTGTGCTGTCCTGTTTTTCAATCTTACCCTGTTGCTGTTAAACTACTGAATTTCTCCACGCACATTAATAAAGGTCCATCTTATCTTATCTTACCTTATAAGCAAAGATAATAAAACATGAATAACACAGGTAGGCTACATGACAAATAAAAGTTACAGTGCAGTGTGAGATATGAATATATCAATTAAAAGTAGCGGCAAAAAGAAAAGTCTTCAGCCTTGATTTAAAAGTAGTAAGAGTTGCAGCGGACCTGCATATTTCTGGTAGTTTGTTCCAGCTGTACAGGAAGCTTTCTCCACTCACGGTGCTTCTCCGACACTTGGACTTGCACAACTTAGTGAGGGAGGGCAGGGAAGCTCTTCCATGACTCGGGCATTTATTTATAGGTGAGCAAGGGACAGCCGGGGTGCTGAGGCGACGCATCGGGAAAGAAGAAGATGGTGATTGCAACAGGTTATTGGGGTTTGGGTCAAAGAGCAGAGCGGTGAAATCGTCCTCTGATGGAGAAGAGATGCTGTTAGACGACGGGAACTCCAACACGTCTCCATCCAGCTCCTCGTATTGCTGCTTCACCAGAGTCAAAGTGACTCTCTCTGCAGGATGAGGAGACAGGAACACAGCCTCCTTGTCCTCCGATGAAACGCTTTTTCTTCTGCGACAGCAAAGGACACAGCCGAGAACCAGACAGTAGCAAAACACAGCTAGACCCACCGCCAGAAGGATCTGCAGGTGAACTGAGGACAGAAAACACAAAAAGAGACAGATACTGGGTTAACGGGTTTAATGAGGACCAGGAAATACAGGCTGTTTCGAAACTGGTCGGGCCACATTCTGGAAGTTTTTCATCTTTTCCGGCATTTTGACAAACTTCACAAGGCAGTGACAGTTGTAGACTATGTTAATGGTTTAACGAGTAGCAGGTTTTGTTCCAAAATTGGTCGGGACACTTTTTAGTGGAGGGTCTGGACGATTTTCACCTTTCCGGCATTTTGATAAGCTTCTTTTGCACCAATTGATGACGAAAAACACAAAATGAGACAGATACCGAGTTAATGGGTTTAATGAGGACCAGGAAATACAAGTTAATGGACTTAATGAGTAGCTAAAAGTATACATTTTGTTTAAAAATTGGTCGGGACACTTTTTAGTGGAGGGTCTGGAAGTTTTTCATCTTTTACTGCATTTCAACAAGGTTTTTCTTGCACCAATTTCTGATGAAAAACTCAAAAAACTCAAAATGAGACATATGAATACTGCGTTAACGGGTTTTCTGAGGACCAGGAAATACAGGTTTCCTTTCAGTATTAGTCAGGACAGTTATTCAGTGGAGGGTCCGTTAGATTTGAGTATGAGACGCTTCATATTCTGCATTTGGATGCAATTTTTTGGACACATTTATGATGGCAGATGGCAGTTAAAATCCAAAGTATTATTGGATATAATACAGTAAGGCTTTCAGGAATTATGTATTCCATTCAAACATGTGTTTTTATATTTGAGAGAAAAGACTAATTTGCAAATTAACAAATGTATTACGTTGTGTGCATCGATTGACCCGTCAGTAAAGACACATTTAAGGGGAATTCATTATAAGAGTTGATGTGGCGTCTGACTCCGAACACGGTCATGTTGTGTCTGCAGTCTGCGCTCCTAACCAGATCAAAGAGGAAGTATCATCATCATAATTGTATAAATGGGATTGTCACAGTTCGATCCAAAGCAGGAGCAGAGTACATGCAATGCATCCGTGTCAGTTTCCCTTTAATTCAATTACTGTGTGTTTGTTTTCATCAAAATGAAATCGCTCACGTAGTGAGGAACAAAACTTTTCAAGAGCACAAAGAGAGCATAGGCCTGACCATGGCAAGAGACAAGACGAACTGACACTGAACACTGGGAGACAGGGGAATGTAAACAGAGGATAACAAGACACAGGTGAAAACAATCAGGGGCGGGGGCTGGTACTGATGATCACAGGAGACACACAAGGGAAACAGGTGAACACAATCAGACAATTAGACACACCAGGGAAACTAACGACAGGGAGGAAAACACAGGGAGAAGGACCAGACAATACACAAGGAGGAAAACATGACAGGGAGAACAGAACAGACACACCAAACTAAAACCGTGACATGACATAATAATCGTGACAATATATCAACTTACCATTGGTGGAAAGAATATACTCAATCACCATAATACTATTTTGACAAAATTGTACTTGAGTATTTCATACATTTATTGAACACTTACATGTTAAAAAATGTGATTTGTTTATATGATATGATGATACATTACCAGTATTTAAAATTGGCTTCCCATTGATGAACAATACATTAAAATGCCCTGACATGTTTATGTTAGTGATAAAAAAAGGATAATATAATATTATATGAAAATATAATACTGTAAAATGTGTCATTATGCATATTGAGTACTTTTACTTTTGATTCTGTAAGTACATGTATTACCTGTGTACTTCTAGTTAATTAACATTTCCCACTTGAGACTTTTACTTGTAATGGTTTAAGACAATAGAAATTCTACTTTTTTTTGGTAACCAAATACATCAATATTTATATATTTATAGGGTTTATTTTTGGAGGTCAGGCTGATTGTCGAACCTCAGATTGAGGAGGAACAATGCGGATTCCGTCCTGGTCGTGGAACAACGGATCAGCTTTTTACTCTCGCAAGGATCCTGGAGGGGGCCTGGGAGTACGCTTATCCATTCTATATGTGTTTTGTAGACTTGGAGAAGGCGTATGACCGAGTTCCAAGGGAGTTACTGTGGGAGGTGCTGCGGGAGTATGGGGTGAGGGGGTCTCTACTCAGGGCCATCCAATCTCTGTACTCCCAAAGCGAGAGCTGTGTCCGGGTCCTCGGCAGTAAGTCGGACCCATTTCCGGTGAGGGTTGGCCTCCGCCAGGGCTGCGCTTTGTCACCAATCCTGTTTGTAATATACATGGATCGGATTTCGAGGCGTAGTCATGGGGGAGGGGGTCTGCAGTTCGGTAGAGTAAGGATTGCACCACTGCTTTTTGCAGATGATGTGGTTCTAATGGCTTCATCGGTCTGCGACCTTCAGCACTCACTGGATCGGTTCGCAACCGAGTGTGAAGCGGCTGGGATGAGGATCAGCACCTCCAAATCTGAGGCCATGGTTCTCAGCAGGAAACCGATGGACTGTCCACTCCAAGTAGGGAATGAGTCCTTACCCCAAGTGAAGGAGTTCAAGTATCTCGGGGTCTTGTTCTCGAGTGAGAGAACAATGGAGCGTGAGATGGGCCGGAGAATCGGAGCAGCGGGAGCAGTACTGCAGTCGCTTTACCGCACCGTTGTGACGAAAAGGGAGCTGAGCCAGAAGGCAAAGCTCTCTGTCTACCGGGCCATTTTCGTTCCTACCCTCACCTATGGTCATGAAGGATGGGTCATGACCGAAAGAACGAGATCGCGGATACAAGCGGCCGAGATGGGTTTTCTCCGCAGGGTGGCTGGTGTCTCCCTTAGGGATAAGGTGAGAAGTTCGGTCATCAGGGAGGGACTCGGAGTTGAGCCGCTCCTCCTTCGCGTCGAAAGGAGCCAGTTGAGGTGGTTCGGGCACCTAGTTAGGATGCCACCTGGGCGCCTCCCTAGGGAGGTGTTCCAGGCACGTCCAGCTGGGAAGAGACCAAGGGGTAGACCTAGGACCAGGTGGAGGGATTATATCTCTTCGCTGGCCTGGGAGCGCCTTGGAATCCCCCAGTCAGAGCTGGTTGATGTCGCCAGGGAAAAGAAAGTTTGGGGCTCTCTGCTGGAACTGCTACCACCGCGACCCGACCACGGATAAGCGGGAGATGATGGATGGATGGATGGATTTTTGGAGCTTTCACAAAATATTAAAACAATGAGATTACTAATAAATCAATATTATCAGTTATAAAGGTATCATGATTAAAGATACATAATAAAAAAGCTAAGCCAGTCTCGTTAGAAATAAGACAATAAAATCACTTAACTGTAATTAAGCCCTCAGAACAGCAAAAAGACACTTAGGACATAAACACACACAAAAAAAAAAATCTATAACAACATTAAGACTCATCTTAAAATCTTGATTTAATATTAGAAACAAGTTGTTTTAATTCCCAGCTCTCACACAAATTTCAAAAACGTGAATTTGTGATCAAATAAATGGGTTTGAACACTCTGTATACAATTGTGACGCTGAGCTCCAATGTCCATTAATGTCAGAAACTGAGGGGGTGGGGGGGGGGGAGGGGGGATGAGTCATGCAGCATCACTGGGGGACAGTGGTGAAAACACTGGGACCATCTCCAGGTAAACAGCCAGCAATGAGAGGGGGATGTTGATGATCTTATAAAAGACAATCCATCACTTCTTAGGGATGTGTTTATCTCATAAATCAGCTTAAAATATAGTGAGTTTAGGCACTCAATTAGGAGCTAAACATGATAAAAACATCAAATTATCTCAGGGTTGTGTCCCAATAAGAACCATTCTCTCCCTTTAAGACACTGCAAGATATGTATTATGTAAAAATGTAAAATTACAAAGCAAGTCATCCTTTTATTGGCACAGGAACAGGCAGGTCCTCCAACATTATATGAAAAGTGTAGAAAGGCTGCAGCAGTGATTTAAGATTGTAAAGGCTGATGGATCAATCTAAAATATGACTGGGACTAAAAGAGTTAAATCTGAGTTGTGCCAAATCTCCATGTTGCTAGATGTCACTCAATCCTGCAGTAATAACAACATGCATTGACTTTACTTGCAGAAAGTAAAGATTATTCTAACCTCTGTGCTTGAATTATATTTTCCTATTTACCTACAAGCTCTTGGTCCTTATTCATACAAAGTAATCTAAAACAAACACCCTCACAATAACTTGCAGCCTGTCTCTCCTCAGAGCATGCCTCAGTTTAGACTGCCATATGCAACAAAAATGCAACACGATGACACAAAACCGACATGCAGAGATAAAACAAAAAGTAGACAAAGTGAGAAATGAAGTCTTCCTACCTGCAAGAGTGTGCTGCGACATGTTGCCATTCAGCTGTGAGAGAGTGTGTGTGTGTGTGTGTGTGTGTGTGTGTGTGTGTGTGTGTGTGCGTGCGTGCGTGTGTGTGTGTGTGTGTGTGTGTGTGTGTGTGTGTGTGTGTGTGTTGTGTGTGTGTGTGTGTGTGTGTGTGTGTGTGTGTCAGTGCGCAGGGACCTGAAGTCCTGCAGCCAATCGCCTCCTCTGCTGCCTCGGATTTATTTATACCACGCAAACAGTGCGTCGGCAGGAAGCGTCCAATCAGCGCCTCTTTAAAACAGTCCCGCCTCCCTGCGACATTCATTGCATTGATTCATTCATTCATAAATAACATGTGTTGATTATTCAGTAGGCTCATTGTGACACAAAAGAAAAGAAAGTAGTAAAATATCATGGCATATGTTATTGCCATCATGTATTTAAAACTACCTTCAATATAAATTTCATAACAAACTGATTCAGATCAATTCAGGCCAGGCAACAATAAGGGATGGCATGCAATTTATCAGTCAAGTAGCAGTTGGTTTCAGAAAATAAATGATATTTGGGGTTTTCTCTTTCCTGTAGTGTGTTATATCGGTTTTAGTGCATGTTAATGGTCTTCAAAGGCAAAAACCAGTTTCTGTCCCACACTCTTCCATCACTTTGTAACACTCCTATTGGCGAGTGCTCCAACACATTGTATGTGATAGGCTAAGGGGCGGGGCATCTCTAAGCTGTGCACAACAGAGTGGACCAGCTAACCAATCAGAGCACACTGGGCTCTGGTTTCAGACAGAGGGTGAAAAGAGGTGCTGCAGCACAGGCAGTATGAGAAAAAGAGCTTTTTGAACATTAAAGTAGTGATGGTGAGATGAACGGCCCGTCCACACAGCAGCTTTTGGCGATTTGTCCACCGCTTCCAGCGCGTCTCCGCCCATTGACTTTGAATGGGGATGACGTCACTTTCCCTCGCTTGTCGCCGAATTGCATTGTGGGGGGGCGAGGCGAAGATTTCCAGGATTTCCAGGATGTTCAGGATTCCAAAGTTGAACAATGTTCAACTTTTGAGGCTGAGCTGGAAGCGACAGCCAATCAGATCCGTTTATGCAAATCTGACAGTTCAAGCGCTAGCCAATCAAACCGCGTGCAAGCTGGGAGAACCAGACCCGCAGTTCATTTCTATATTCCACAAAAATGGAGGAGAACTTAGTTATTGCGGTAGCAAATCACCCGGTTCTTTATGACCAGTCCCTATTTACTTACCGGGATACAAACCGGAGGAACCAGGCATGGGGGGAGGTGGCAGAGGCAGTGGGTGAAACTGGTAGGTTTTCGCTTGTTTGGGGATTTTATATCCAGTTTACTTCGTTGCTAGTTTACTTCGTTGCTAGCAAGCATATACAGTATCATTAGCCAGCATGGAATGTAGCATAAAATAGCACCATAAACATTAATCTCATAAATGTTCAAAATGTTAAAAAAATAAATGTTCATCATAGCCCTTCCTATTTGACAATAGTGTAGAAGAACCGGGTTTTTTTGCTTTGTATGTCGGGGGCGGGATATTCATGTGATTGGTTGTTGGTCGCGAAATCCCCAAGCTGTCAGACACGCCCAGCTCCAGGATTTTCAAGATTTGGTCAAAGCTGCTGTGTGGACACACCGGAAGCCTTATGAAGCTTTGAAGCTTTCCAGCCAATTGGTTCGCAAAAGGGTTCATCTCATGAGGCTTCATCATGGGCTTCATTTGAACACAAACCCCCCTGTTGGTCAAAGTGTGTACAACAGGCAGATTGGACATCTCAACAGTGTGCTCTATCTCATACCGAGTTCCCAATGAGTAAAGCCTTAGAATACATCTAAACAACGAACATTAAATCATATCTTCATGTTAACAATATTGTACTTATTCCAGTTTAATGATTGTGATTGAAAAGCCTAAGGAGGCTGGTACACATTGCAAAGACGGATTTGTATTCCTTAATAATATTCATAAACTTAACCATGTTGTCGCCTGAGAAAGGCTAAACCATATCAAAGAATACATTTATTAATTATCTCATTTAGCTGTAGCTTTTATAAACAACAAAAAATACGTATTGTTCAGTCGTTGAACCAGGGACCCTGCGATCATGAGTCAACTGCTTTCCAGCTGAGCCACAGCACACACACTACAGCTCCCTGAAAACACTGCAACTTATTTATTCCTGTATTTATTCATGTTTTTATTCCTACATTTATTTATGCTTGTATCTATTTATACTTATGACATGTTCCGACCTCTATATAAGTGAGGGTCTGAGCTCTCTTGATTCCATCGTGTCACCGGGCCCAGGTACAGGAGGGGTAATATGGTTCTTATTATACATCCATGCCGCAGGGTTTCCGCTAGGATTTTTTCTCGCCGGTCAAATGTCCGGGCAGAATTTATTTTACCGGACAAATTTGAAACTTACCGGTCATATTTCAATAATAATAGTAAGAGTTGTGTAGCAGAGTTTCCGTTAGCAGGTCATTACCGGACTATGAGCAGATATGCTTCAGTTTAAAACTCAGTTAATGGGCTCATTTTTATATTGCTTTAGTCTATCATCGTAACAGATCGAAAAATTCAGATCCATTTTTCAAACAACAAACAACATAATTATTACATTCAAACAAACTACTTGTAGTAGATAACGTACATTATTCAAAAGTTTACATTAACTTTGAATAATAACACGGGAGAAACGGATCATCTCTTTTCCCCTCTCCCTCTCTCTCTCTCTCTCCTGACAGCCCGTCAGTTTCTCATGCAGCTAAACAGAGGGCGGGGCTTCAGGTGATTATGCAGAGCTGCTTGTCTCGGTCTGACTCAGCAGCTGATCTGATCTCTCTCTCGCGTGTCCGGTTATACTTCACTCGCGTTTATGTCCATATCGATCAGATCCAGCTCTCCTGATCGTTCTTTATAGAGAGCACCGATCAAACTATTAAGAGTGAATATCGGCCGATAATGACCGGTGGCCGATCTATCGGAGCCTTCCTAATTATTACCAGACATTTTGACCGGCAGGTTTTGAATTTACCGGTTTTTAATATATTTTACCAGCTAAAAACCGGTAATTACCGGCTAACGGAAACCCTGATCCATGGGTATTATGAGCGTTGTGGTTCAACGGTTCAACCGATCTGAATGGCTTCCTGAAGCAGTCACGTGGTATCGACAGGCAGCGAGGCTTCATTTGTCATCGAAGACGTCACTGGCCCAAAACGATACAAGCCTCGATACATGCTTCACAAAAAGCTTCGGGGATTACTCGACACACGCTCCGAAGCCTCGGCGCAATACGTAACTTCACTAGAAACTAACGACAGACATGAAAACACAGGGGAAAAGACCAGACAATACACAGGGAGGAAAACATGACAAGGAGAAAAGCAAAACATCCACTACCAGACACACAAAACTAAAAACGTGACACAACACAAGAATCGTGACAAAAAGAAAGATCATTAAAGTGTTAATAGCTGTTTTTATGAAGTTGCTTCCCTTGTTTGAGATATTGGTTTCCAGAAAGCTGCTTTACTATGATTTTTGTAAATAATTTTGGGGGTAAATTGGACATTAAAATGTAAATATATTCACAATATTATATAAAAACTATTCTACATCTTCAGGTGCTGATGGGAAACGCTGTGTTTAGGATTTGTTTGCATCAGCTTTTCAATATTGAAGAAGATCTGCAAGGCATTAAATTCTGTCTTAAAATTATATTATCCATTCATAAAAGTGTTGGTTGTGAGGAGGTCAAACAGGAAGCTGTATCTGGTGAGTTAAGGTATATTTTTACCATCTTCTTTCTTGAAAAACATAAATTGTTTTCCAGTCAGTAGTACGCTGTCATCTGCTGGAGGTTTTAGGTAATTTAAAGTATGATTAATATTAGGTTTTAAATTAAAGGTCACCTATCATGCTATTTTTAGGCAATAGCATATAGGTCTCAGATATATACAAACATATAAAAAATATGTCTATGAAGTGTTTTGCTCAAAATACCAAACAGATCACCCATTCTAGCCATGCCTCATATCCCTCTATTTCACTTCCTGTTTCAAAAGTGCTGATTTGGGTATAAAGCTTTAAAAAAAAGAATATTTATTAAAATAAAAGGAGGGGTCTGAGCTCATGCGGGACCCGGCAGCTACTGTCTAAACTAAATGCTGCCGTGATGAAACGCCATATCATGGATTATCAAGGATTCTCTCTGAAACAGTTTGGAGCTCAAAGTCTTTCTCTCTTGCCGGTTATACCACAAGGTGAGTTCCTTTTTACTTCCTGCTTCTTCACCCACATGCTCTCCAGCACAGGTTAGCTCTGAGTGTTAGCGATGCTAATGTAAACACCGACCATATTACGTCCAAAACAGTCGGGCATTGTTTCTGATAGCAACGTTTCTGATTGGGCCGTGGGTCCACATTTCAGATATTACGTCATATCGGACGCAAATCTGGATCAGCTCCGTTGTTCCCCGTTTTTAGAGATTTGGGTACGGAGGAAAAGAGAGAGGGTTTTATTTACTGATGCTGCGTGAGTTCCCTGACACACCGGGGACACATATTTATAGACAATACATCAAAAAGTGCATTTTGCATGATAGGTCCCCTTTAAAGGTGAATGTTATTTCAAGGATGATTTAATTGTAGATATTATTAAACCTTATGGAGCAGAGGCAATAGGTCACATGATTTGGAAGCTGTTGTAAATAAATTAGACGTTTCCATAAACAAATACAGTTTAATAACAAGATGTATTTGAAATAAAATAAACCCTTAAACCCAATAGAAAGAGGTGTGCTATTAAAAATAGAAATCTGCAATAGATTTGGAGTCAATAGGTCACATGACTTGGAAGCTTTTAAACAGAGATTTTTCAATGAGAAAACCCCTGAATGTTTGTTACAATATTCATAATCACTTACAATAATTATAAGAAACGCCCTTTTCCTACGTATAGAAAAGTGTGTGTTTTGAGTTTTAAAACTAATCATTGAGGAATCCAATTAAGAGAGGTGTGTCCAACTTGTTCAGTATCTGCCACAATTTGGTCACATCAAAAGGGAGCTACTGAAATAAGAATACGAT